GGGGGGGAGGGGGGGGGGAGATAATCACCCTGCGTTGATGCTAAGATATTTGTTACCAAAGGGTATTGCTGCACATCTAAGTTCCCATGCTTGTCTTCTATTTTCACCTTCCAAGAGGTGAGAAATTTTTTGACGTCATCTATGATGTCTCCAGGCCGGATCTTTATAGCTGGAACTGTCCTTAAATCCTTGTTGGCAAGTCCGTCCTCTCTGCAGACGAAGAGGCACCGTAAATTACCAAAGTTTTCTTTGGGGAGATTATTGGCTTGATCACAAAACCAGGAGCAGATTTTCTTCCTTTCTTCCCTGTCACACTCATCGATACCGTCAATGATGATGTATGTAGTTCGTTGTGACTCCATTGCAACTTGCAATAAATCTTGCGCCATCTCAGTATCGGTTAAGATCGCCTCGCCACTTTTTGATATTCGCTTGTCGTAGAGTTGTAAGAGCAGCTCTGGATCCCCTGCTACGAGCTGACTGAGAAGACCTCGGGCAACAGCTACGAAAGTATTGCGATTCTGGTCGTCGCATTTACAGTAGAAGAAAGCCAACCGCATAGATGACGACTCGCACAGCTCTCGAATGACTTCTACCACTTTTGATGCCAGGGTTGTTTTCCCTGATGTTACTGTCAGTATTACGCCTTTGCCAACTTCTTGCGGGACTGAATCCCTGGATGGAACTGACCAGCGCCGGGAATGCCATTCAACCACAGTAGCGGTGTCAGACAAAAGACCGGATCGAACCAATTCTTGAATCGATCATCGTCAATCAGCCACTGCCCAGAACTCGCGCAGTCGCTTCTTGCATTCGCACATTGAATTTGCTGAATGTTAGAGTTATATGCTGACAGCCATAGCTGCACTACCGGCCAACGTTGCCGATCAAACTCAGTTTGCAGCTCTTTGAAGTTGGCCTCCACTATCTCACGAAACTTCTGCGCCTCTTCAAATTGAACAATAGAAGCTTGCGATTCAATAAGATGCTTGTGGCGTTCCATCTTCTCCTTCAGTTCGCGGAGCTTGACAAGAAATGCACTCCAGACAGCATCAAACAGCTTGTACCAATCTGTACACACCATCAGCTGTGGCATTTTGAGACATGAGGTCACCTAAGACATACTTGACTTGCGAAAATACTTAAGCGCTACACGGTGAAACTCCAGGATGTCTTTGTACATAAGAGCCAAAACTGTTCTCATATAGGGGTTTGAGACAGAATGCTGCTGATATACTTGGAGCTGGGGGAGTAGCTCTCCAATCTGCAAGTAAGCATCCATAAGGGAGTTGAAAGCTTCGGAGAAGTTACATGCAGCCTAAAAAGTCGTCAGTACCGTCTGATACCATCAAGTTTATCATGAAGAATTTTACCGTCAACATGAATTTCATCGGGCCCTAATTGAGATGCGGTAAGTAACAGCCTTCCATTTGATACGAGTGATAGTAGCTCCAATAGAAGACTCCCAAATAAGATACTTACCCAAACAAATGCGAGATAATCTGACGAGTTCAAAAATACCTCGATAACCTTGCCGTAAGCTTCCATGTTGACGAGAAACACTTCAAGTCTTCTCATGTAGAGTTGTTTCTTGTTAGACAGGTGCTTCCTCTGGATTGCAACAATAACCGCTTTGATATCGTCAAGCGAAGTGTTCTCATACATACTCTTGTATGTCCCTTTTTGTCAAAGCAGCCTCCATCTGAAATGCTTTTAGGAAGGTTTTGAACTCCTGATCTAATGATAACGTGCCATCTTCAGGAACGTCCACCAGCGACATGTTGTTCTTAAGGTGTTAGAACCACGGGTCCAGGTGAAACCGTTTGAAGCATGAGGTCTGCAATCATGGGAATAATCATTTGATTAACTTATCAGCGTTGAGTTGAGGGAAAAAGCATATGTCGCAGGTGAAGAGAGACGAGGCTCTCGAATCGTGGTGGAACTGCTTCCAGCATGCAGGCCGCGTCGTATTAAACGAGCATGCGCCACAACAGAGCCACCGAAGAGTGCGATTTGTGGAGGCTATGCATGGCATTAACAGCCATGTTCGGCTCTACCGAGTCTGCCTCAGAAGCTAGACCTGTCTCTTACCTGTGAGCCCCATTAGGTGAATTGCAGAACCAAGCATATAGTACTAACAATCAACCTCCAATACCAAGGTGTTTTCTATTGATCTGGTAATTACTCCATATTCTTAATACGCAAAATTTGACCACACATCTCAAACATCTCAGAGAAAGCAAGCAAGGTGTAAATAAGGTAGAGAAACCGAATACTAGTCCTGCATACACTCGTTAAATGGCAGCTCTGAAACGATCTCAACTTCACACCCCGCTATCCGACAGCCTTACGAGCCCTAGCCCACCAAAGCGTCAACGTCATTACTCTCAAATCAAGAGCTGGGCGTCTTATGTAGGCGCATCCACAGTCTCATCAGAACCCGTGGCAGAAAGGTCCTACTCCGAATATGAAGATAGACATGACGACAAGGTTCTGAGTGTTGAAGACACGGAAGAGATTTGCTTTGGCACGGTAAGCTTGAGCGGCTCCTCGATTTGACAGTCGTGTTAATAATTGACATTGAAAAGCTCGAGGAAATACAAATCATGCTAAAATGGCAACCGAGATCTACTGTATCAGACATCTCTCCGCTCGGTATTGATGGGCGGCCGCTAAAAGTCTTGCCGCTCAACTTCCACGACACCTATTGTTCGGTCCAGACAGAAGATGGCTATCCTATTGGGGTGCTTGAAAACAGAGCCCTCAAGCACCTACTACCTCTTTCTCGTAGTCATTACATGATTAGGTTTGAGGGTGTCATACAAGAGTCTACGTGGCAAGAAAGGTTGACCTCGTCTAAAACTGGTGGTCGCGTGCAGCAGCTTTTGACCTTGGAAGTTGATCTCTTCGGACCGCGTCATATGTCTGATGAGGTAGCAAAAGTTCTCGGGCGAGCGAAGTTCTTCTTACAGCGTCCATCACGGCGTATCCTTCCTCCGTACGAAAATCCTCAATGTTTGCAACTGGCGTATGGTGTGAGTTCTATGACTGTCAACAGTGTTTTGCCTCTCCTTAGAAGTGGGGAACAGAACTTGTCAGAAACGAGGCGCTCGGATGATTCTGCCTTGAAAACATCATCATTTGATCTTGATCAAATTTTCGATGGATTACGACCACAAGAGTTCACTGGTAATATAAGTGTGGACTCCCGGGTTGTCACTCCTCTTCTTCGGTATGGTGGATTTTTCATTTGAGCCCCAACCACCTTCCAGGAGACGGCTTGAGTCAACTTTGTACAAGCAGCGATGATCTAACAATCTCGTAGTCACCAACTGGAAGGTCTCGAGTTTCTTATAAGTCGGGAAACACTCGCTATCCCTGATCATCGAACGCTCTGGGAGCCGCTCGCGCTTGACGCGCCAATAGTCGGGTAAGTCGCGACAAATCCCTCTGTCAAGGTTAGTACTGATGTGTGTTTCCTATCAAGGTACCGGCACGCAATCACGGGCGCCAAGAGTCGAAGTGCCGATGACAGCCCCGGAGGAATTCTAGCAGATGACATGGGACTTGGGAAAACTTTGACGATGATTGCCCTCCTTCTATGTTCTTACAGTCGAGCAGAGGAGTTTGCTCTGCAAGACTCCTCGACAAAGCTGCATTTAATCGATGGTGGACCGCCAGTGTCTCTCAAGGCCACTCTGATAGTGGTACCGTCAGAATGTAGGTATTTTCAGCCGTAAGTACTACTGTGCTAACGTTGACAGTGCTACTCACAAACTGGGTAGAAGAGATCAAGAAGTAGGACTACACGCAATGAGAGAATTCAATTCTTGACTAATTAATATAGGCATACTTTCAAGGATACAGTGAAATATTATAAGTATCATGGTAAAGATAGACATGTCCAACCTCTCCAATTTAGAGATTATGACATCGTTTTCACGACATATGGTACACTGGCAGCAGACGTTGGAAAGAGGGGAGCAACTTTGGCAAGAATACGTTGGTATCGAATCATCCTGGACGAAGGTACCTACTCCCTCTTTTCCCTCATTCTGCAAACAAGAGAATCACTCAGAGGCACACCTGACGCTTACAGCACATATAATCCGAAACTGGACAACCAAACAGTTCAATGCGACTCTTGCAATTCCCTCTCAAATAAGATGGTGCATGACGGGCACACCGATACAAAATAATGTTGAAGATCTCGGTGCCTTAGTCAGATTCTTACGACTACCTATATTAGAGGGGGTGACTGTGTTCCGTCAATACATTAGCTCAGAGGTTCAAGTCAAAGAGTCCTTTCATAAAAATAACTACCCGAACCTTCGTTTACTGCTGGGATCTATCTGTCTTAGAAGAGCACAAGCTATACTTCGTTTCCGTTGCAGTACAGAGATCATCAGACCAACGTTCAATGAGGATGAGGAGAAGGATTATCGAAATCTCGAGATGCGTTGCAAGGAAGCTCTCTCATATGCAGCTAGTTCAAAAAACTCTCGCGCTGCGCATCAAAACGTGTTGGAAAAGCTCCTTCGCTTGAGAGAATTCTGCAACGGACTCACTCTGGGCTCTGAATCAAGCCCGGAGGCTACTTTTAACTTGATGCAACAAGACGGTCAGGTGTGTTGCGAGTATTGCAGTATGGAAATTATCTCCTTGGAAGTCAATGAAGGCGGTAGCAGCATCACGATCACCGAATGTCGACGGGCAGTGTGTGCAGATCTTTGTTGCATTGATCGATACATTGCTGAAGTTGGACCACAGGGATCAGAGACCAAAATCTGCCCTTTTTGCAAACTTGAACATCGAAAGAGTAGCATTCTAGAGGAAAGATATGATTCAATGTCTAGGAAGCCAAGAAATGAGTATCCTACGAAGTTGCTGAGGCTACTTGATGATATCAGAGTGCATGGAGCCGAGGATAAATGGTTCGTCCCTTGACTTCTGCCAACTGTTGAGGCTTATACTTTCACTAACTTAGTGCTTTCAAAGCATTGTTTTCTCACTCTGGAAGAGAACCCTAGACCTTGTGGAAAAACTGCTCGAAACTCAAAATATTCGATACTGTAGAGTTGACGGTTCCGTTTCAACAGCACATAGACGACAAGGGATTCTGGACACTTTCCAACGACAGAATGATATTAGGGTCCTGATCATGACTCTTGGTACTGGTGCAGTTGGGTAAGAGCTTGGCTTTGGTCGATCAACTCCAGCGCGCCTTTTCTCAAAAGCTAACATATCACCAACCAGACTGAACAACCTCTCAGTCGCCAGCAGAGTTTATTTGCTCGAACCTCAATGGAATCCTTCTGTTGAGAAACAAGCAATCGGTCGCATATTGAGGCTCGGACAGAAGAAAGAGGTCAAAATTGTTCGATTTATCATGAAACACTCAATTGAAGAGGTATGCTTGTGCTGATAGGGTAGAGATTGCTCGCCCTTCGTCCGAACACTCGCTAATTATGCGAGATTCAGCTTGTAGAAAAATGTCAGCAGAAAAAGCTCAACTTGGCCGCTGGTGGCTTCAATATTCTCAAGGCTGCGCAGGATAGTTGGTTAAGTTGAATACATGTAGCCAGCATCCACTCAACCTCACCTCAACGAATTTATACATCATCTGGACGCCCTTCCTCCGTTGTATTTCATACGCTATTTGGGCAGTGATTGGGCTCGACACAATTTGTGGTCTAGGCTGGTGTGCCGCCATCTGTATGTTGTTGTCCTGGCAACGCGATGGTCTTTACGAACCGCAGGCTAGAAATGCATTAGACTCGTTTGACTTGTACAGGACAATGAATGAGTATTCTTTCATCGGCTCAACTGGTGCTGCCGGAGTTTCCTGAACCACCAACAATGTGTGGCGCAAGATTGAGGTGGTAGGTCGATAGCGTCTCATTGGCAACGCTGTGGCAAGGTTGTAGTATCGTATACTCATCGGCTTGTCTGCTGTGTCTCTTTCTTTGATTTGTTCGTCTTTGATATATCCCTGCGTAAGAAGCGAGACTCCGAGTGGTCCATGGATTTGATGTGAAGGCGGATGATAATGTATTCGTTGTTCTGTACAGTAGTGAATTTTGTTCTATAAACATATATAGGCAGGGGAAGGAGAACTCTCTCAGAATTATGGCAGTGATACTAAAGTAGACTTCAACCAATAGTGCAACGCGGCGGCCGTAAGTTGCTTTTATATCCGCAATTCAGCGAGCCTTTCGCCTGTTTGGTAGGTCGAAATATAGGAACGGATCTAAGCCGAAACCAAGTTAACAGTTACCCTTTCTAAATTGCGTCCTTTCTCGGCCGATACGGCAACATGCAGGCAACAACGCCGCTTAAATGCGGTCGACCGTTGCAACAAACAATCTTTTCGTTTCCATGAATAGAGCAAACAAAGTCTTCTACTATGAAGATGGTAGTATCTCAGTTGAATACGAACGCTGAATGATACCACTCTACGAAAACACGCCTCTTAGCAATCGTCAACTTTCGTAATCACCGTTTCGCGTGCAACCATCACCCTATCGACATTACAGATATCCAATCACGCGCGGATAAATAGACATCATGCCGTTGAAAGTTCTCATCGCTGGTGCCGGCATTGGCGGACCAGCGCTTGCCTTCTGGTTGTCCCGCATCGGCTGTACCACCACTGTCATCGAGCGAAGCCCCAATTTGCGAGCAACAGGACAGCAGGTAGACTTTTTAGGACAAGGTCTGCCAGTTGCTAGGATGATGGGTATCGAGAACGACCTGCGTGCTGTCGCCGTCAAGGAGCCTGGCATGCGATTTATCGACTATAAGGGACAAAGCAAGGCCTATTTTCCTGCCAGCGACGGCATCAGTGCCACGACCGACCTCGAAGTCATGCGCGGCGATGTAGTCAACATCTTGTACAGGCTCACAAAGGATTTGGACAGTGTGAATTATGTCTTTGGCAACCATATTATCGGACTCTCGCAGGACGAAACCAAGGTACATGTCACATTCGCGAACGGTACCACGGAGAACTACGACATGGTTGTAGGCGCCGACGGTATCAACTCTCCAACGCGCAAGATGATGCTGGGCCCGTCATTCCCTGATCATCGTTTCGATCTGGGTGTACACATGGCATATTTCACCGCGCCCGCACAGAAGGGTGATCCAAGGGACTGGACGGTATGCCACGTCCCGGGTGGCAAGGCCATCATGACTCGCAAGGACAAAGAGGAAAACATTCGCGTATACTTGGCCACTCGAGGCGGGTGCGAGTCTCTTGACGCAGCCAAGACTCTTGCAGATCGTAAGGCAGCATGGGCCCAAAAATTCAAAGGCACAGTTGGAGCCCAGGCAGATAGATTCATGAGGGATCTACAGGAGTCTCCAGAGGCCGATGACCTGTTCGACCAACATCTCACTCAGATCCGGCTACCAGAGGGCGCCTGGTCGAAAGGTCGCATTGTGCTTCTTGGAGACGCAGCACACTGCCCGGCGCCCGTTGGCCGAGGCGGCGGGACCACATCTGCCCTGATAGGAGCTTACCTACTCACCGGAGAGCTGTTCAAACAACTCAAGGAAAATGGACACAACCCAAAGGCCGTCGATGTCGAAAGGGCCGCGAAGGAATACGAGCGGATACTTAGACCGTCTGTTTGGGAGAAGCAGAATATTGGCACCACAAGGATCAGTGCCTTCTTCCCTCAGTCAAGCTTGGGAATTAGTATAATTCACACCATGGGATGGTTGGTGGCTAAGTGGCCCTTCGGTATGCCATCCCGCGGGGAGGAGTCATCAAAACTGCTGTATCCAGACTACTTCGGACTTGAGTCGGCTATTGAGAGAGATCAAGCTCATAATGCCATCCACTGACCATGTGGTTGGGTAGCGGCACGTGTCCCCCACAACCCGAATAGGTCAAAAGAGTCTTGGAAGGTAGGAAGTACTTGAGAGAATAGTCGAGTGACTTATATTAGCCATCTTGTGGCTTGTATTATACAGATATGTACAGTACATGTAGATTGTAGTAGAACAAAATCTCGCTCATAATGCTATCCAAAGATCTAAGCCGACCATCATTGTCAAACGCCGCCCATATGACCCCTTATTTTCACAAAACCCCGAGCTTTTTGTCACCTTTGACGTCATGAGAAGAAATACTCGCTGCTCTTAAGTCGTGTGACGTCGAAATCTCCCTTCTGTGGGATATCAGGAAACGTCAGAGGGAGCCAGATCTGGTGACTAGGCTTCTCCCTTGCTGTTGCTCGCTGCCTCTTTGGCCGAATAACCATGTTGGTGAAATGGCTTGTGCCAACCATTGCCGTCAATCTCTCTGCAAGATCTGCCGGGTCATCTTCAGCATCTTCAACATCTTCGTCCACAACGTCGGCATCTTCCTCGTCATCCAATTCGCTCTTTTCAGACGAGACAGCGGTGCTCCTGGTAGGTATCCGACCCAGGGCGACCGCATCCATATCCTCACGCGAGATCATATCTGCTTCGGCAGACATCTCCTCGAAGATACTTGCTGGGGTGATTATCTTCCGTCCTTCCTCAACCTCTTTAGGATCGGCAGACTTCAGTAGATTGAGCCGCTTGATCTCTAGAAGAAGCTCCTGCTTCAATGACATCTTCCCTTTCTTCCTTAAAGCTGAGATCGCCTTGCCGACTGGCGTACTCTTGTCTACTTTGCTTAAATATACCGAGTCCTTGTATCGTGCGTTGAACTCCTCTGCCAAACGGCCAATGACGTCCTCGCTGTGAATCCTGATGAATGCATCCCGGAGAACACGGTTCATGACGTCGATATCGGCTGCATGAGTCCAGAACGAATCGTGAACAGCAGCAAAGCAAAGCCCCAGCTCATCGCATTCTAAAGCGGAGAGAAGCATGTGGCTAGCATCTAGGGAGTGGATAAAGTTTGGTGGGAATGCCTGTAACTGTTTTTTGCGATGGACTGGATCGGATCTTTCTGGCTGCGCAAGGACGAGATCCTGAAGGCACGTCGAAATAACTCGGCTACCACTCTTGCGATAGGGTTGGACCACAGGCATTCTCAATGGAGTCGTCCAGACAATGGTCGACCGGAACTTGCTGAGGAGCTCATCTGTAGATGTGACCGGCTTCTTCCCCCTCTGGACCTTTTTCTTGGGCTCTGAAGTGCCTTCTGCTATGAGATCCAGCTGATCAGGGGTCAGGGCTGTGCAAACACGACCTCCAATCTCCCCAAGCCAGTACTGAATGTCGTGAGCACCTCGGAACATGGTCGATAAAGCTTTGAAGATCTTCGTTGCAATGTACGAGGATAGGAGAAGGGGGTCAACACCGGACTCCGCATGCAGGTTGGGATAGAGAGCATCCAACTGTTTCAAAACTTGCTTCTTGGCGCCAGAAAATGTCACGCCATACACGTTCGTCATGACTGTCTGCTTCACAACCTTACGTGTAATCTTTCCGTCTACAGCCTTCGCAAAGAGGTGGTTGGCCTCCAGATCCTTGGCAATGCTTTCCTTGACTAGATCAGCCACAGCGGAGTAAACATCTGCAGGTTTATCACCAGGCTCCAGATTGACCTGACGAGCGCCCCAAGAGTCTCCCCCAAGTGCAGCATAGTGCTGAAGGCCGTTGCATGTTCCGTCCTGGTGAACAGGCAAGTGCGACACATACTTGGTCGGATCGGGACAGTCCAAAGCGGCCTTGAGTTCGAAGCAGGTTGCGAGACACTGCCAGGGATCCTCCGCCTTCAGCCACCATCGGTTGCCAGTCAATGGCTTCTCAACCGAGTCGGTGATATCCGCAATGTGGTTCACGGCAAATGCTTCTCTGTCAGAAAGACTGGCCTTGTCATAGCCGAAAACGTTCGCAAGGTGAACTTTGAGCCATTTAAGCCCACGCTCACCAAGCTCTCGGCCTTGGGCAAAACACATCAATCCTCGGACATGATCGGCGCCCATGTGATTTAAGTAGGTTGGAATCGGATAGGCTCGTCCTCGGAAATCAATGTTGTGCGGAAAATAGAAAGTTTGATCCCGAAAAGCCCTCGCAATCTCCATCTGAAAGTTCATTGAGCATCGGTTGGAATGCAGTCCAGACTTCTTGTTCTCTGCCGCTTTAACCTCTTTGATCCAGATACGTCGTTGCATAGGGTCGTCGGCTGATTGAGGCTCTTCTGGTGTGGGGATATTCGGGTACAGTGGCGGGATGTTGGCAATTTGTTCGCCAGTGTTCCAAGCCTCAAGCATGACATCGAACACCGGTCGATTGATCCTCCAAGCAGTTTTACCCAAGATGTCCAGCCCCTTCAAAACCTGGTCCATGTCACCTCGCGATATAGCTGCCTCGGTATAGACTTTTTGATCCCTTTCGCCCTGTTTGATTCGGACCAGGGGCGATGGATAATCTAGAAAGCCGCCTTTGTCAAAAGCACTCCATGGCTCTGGCTCTGCGACCATTGGCAAGTGCCGCGCAAGAAATTCGCCTCTGGGCTCTCGCTTCATCACATCCACAAGGGTCTGATTGGGCATAATCATGCCTATCTTCTTTCCCCGTTTGTACTGGTTGGCGTGATAGAAAGCAGGTTGGTACTGAGTGATGAGTTGTTTGGTCTCCGGATGTTCTCGTACAACATTGATCTTGGCAGTCTCGAGTAGAGCCATGAGCAACGCAGCTCCCAGCTTACTCTTGACAGTAAGTGGCCAGGATGTATCTAGGAATTCTGTAGGGTCAACAGTGCTTGACGGCCGGTCCTCGGTTGGAGATGCGGTGGCTTCAGAACCCGCGGCCAGGGGCTTGTGATCCTTAGCTCTCCTGAGGGCGCGCATAGTTGCTACTTGGGACGACTTCGTGTTCGGCTTTTTCTCCCGCTGCTGTGCCCGGATGTCCTCCTCTGTGACCTTCGAGAGCTGAGTAATGACAATTCCAAGAGGCACACCCTTATCAGCTCCATGCATGGCAAGGGAACTAAGGGCGCTCAGAATCGTCACCGCAGCAAGCCGGCTGGGTGTTGATTGACGAAGGAAAGGCCCGTAGACACACCGATCCAAGTCTTCCTTGCTCTTTTGCGGAGAGGCTTCGGCTGCTTCAATTCTTTCAAGCTCCTGTGCAAGGCGAGCCTCTAGTGCAACGTGCCAGTCGTAAAGTCGAGAATTGAGAGATGCCGTATTCACAGACGTGTTGAGACCCATTTTGAGAAGAGCCTCGTTTTCTTCTCGCCACCTTTCCACAGCCGCATCGATAGAATCCCTCTCCAAGCGAGCTTGGATTTCGCGCCTCTCCTGAGGACTCAAGCTGGCTATGTCCCGTCCGTCTGGTATCTCTGAAAATAGAGTGAGGGTCTTCTTGATCATTCGCAGTCCCATGCCCTTTTGAGGTGTGCTGAGAACCTCAGGGACTTCCCGGAGGTTGGTCACAGAGGTCTCCGCCTCGGCCTCGAAGCCCTCTATAGGTTCCAGTTCAGGAGGCGTAAATGTGAGATCATCCACAGAGAGGTTATAGGTCGGGCATATGTCTGTAATTCTGGCGCGGTCTTGATCGGTCAATATGTCCGTCATGTAGAGTACCTCCAAGCCTGCGTCTCCTGGAGCCATTCCCATGTAACGATCGACCAGTCTCTCTAAACGGGATCCTCGCGTCGTCGCCAGGGACGCCTTGAGCATCAAGGCAACGGTCTCGGCGGTCTGGGGCAAGTCCTGGCTTCGGATATGAAGCTCGTACCACTTATGAAGCTCATCGGCCTTGTTCAGACTCGGATTAGCCATGATTTGGCCAACGGCAGTCTGGAGATAACGATTATGCATAGCAAGAATATAGTTCTCGTCCAAGATCTTCATTGCCGTTAAACGTTTGAGCACCATAGAGGCGCGGTCCAACTTCCCGACTTGGATACAGGCGTCAAAGTACGGGATCATCTCCTCAATATCGCCGGGCACTCCATAATTATTTATGCGTTGTCGAGGTGGCTGTGGGGGTGGATCCTTCAATACAAGAGGAGACGAGATGTCGAAGGGCTTCAATTCGTAAAGTTTCGGGCCGTTAGGGTATGGGGAGTACACGGAAGTGTTGAGGTTATCGAATGGTATGTCATCGATAGACTTGTAGTCGTCGAGCGCGGTAGCCAAATTCCGTCCAGACCGGTAAATTACTCGACTGGCAAAATCTTTCCTCTTCCAGGGCCGCAGGTCCTGCTTTGTTGTGAGGAGCCTCCGGCTCAACGCCAGGGACCGCTGATGCCCGGCGCAGCATCTTGATAATGTCTGCGGCGACACTAATGATTGTAGTCGGCGGGCATGATGCAGGTTCTGTTGTGATAGACCCGGTCGTGTGAGCATCTTGACGGCTCACGCGACGGCGCGGAGGAGGAAAGGAGGGAATGGCGCTCAAGGGCTGATGTCGGCTGTCAAGGACATGTGTATTGCAGAGAAAAAGGAGATTAAAGAGTACTGAAAAAGAGAGGAAAGTAGAATGAGGGCGAAGTATTGTACAATACAAAAGGTCGCCGAGGATCTTGTTGTTGTTGAAGAGCGACGACCCTGAAAATGCGATCTGATTGACAGAATGGATGGAGATGGATCAGTCCATAACGATAGCGCAGGGAGCTCAATCTCCTCGAAATTTTGCCTCGCCTGAATGGCCAGCGCAAGAGGGTGGAGCTATCGAAAATTTCCGGTCTGCTGATTGGCTCTGGGGAGTGCGGCTGCTCCCCGGCTGGACGGCCCCTAAAAGAGGCCCAAGCTTGACCCGGACAGCTTCTGGAATTTTTCCAGGCCCAGTGGAACCGACACCAGGTCCCATCACCCGACTGAACCATTGACTCCTCTCCAGGTTTGACTCTAGTTCAACAAAGCATCAAAGCCCCGAGACACATGAGAAAGCATCGATAGATTCTAATGTTGGGTTACAATGATTGTTAGACCTCCCCTCCGCGCGGCCGGCTGCGCGGCTTGTCGAGCTTCCCTTCTACGAAGCTTCATCTCAACTCCAGCTCCGTTGATAACGATTCGCGCTCCCGCAAAAAGCTTCCAGCCATTCACCAAGACATGGCCCCGATTTGCATCGACATCCAATGCTGTCACCGAGAACGAAGCGACTTCGACAGAGGCAACCGAGGACCAGGCATCATCTCCGGCCTCAGGAAATGCTGATGAGATCCCGTGGTATTTGCAAGAGGAAGCTCCAAGGCATCCCACATTGGTCCACGAGCCCGCTCCTTTACCCGAAGTTCCTGAAGGTTCACCCTCCCTCCTAGAACCGCTCCTAAAATTTGCGTCTGAGGAGCTCGGCCTCGACGATCTGAACTTGATGGATCTCAGGTCCCTCGATCCGCCGCCAGCACTGGGGGCGAATCTACTGATGCTGTTCAGCACCGCACGGAGCGAAAGACATCTACACGTCTCAGCAGGTGGCCTAGTACGATGGCTACGGAAAAGAGGCATCACAGCGGACGCAGACGGACTATTGGGACCAAACGAGCTCAAGATCAAGTTGCGGCGCAAGGCCCGAAAGGCGAAGCTTCTGGGCCACTCTGGTGCGGCGCCGGGTGGTGACGACGGCATCAGTACACGCTGGATCTGCGTGAACCTTGGCACATTGGGCTACTCCGTCGAGGAGACAGAGATGGAAAGTGGCGATGGCAGATTCTCTGGTTTCGGGACACCAAGGCTGGGCACAACTGTGGTTGTACAGATCTTCACGGATGCGAAGAGGAAAGAGCTTGATTTGGAGACACTCTGGTCGCGCATCTTGAAGCGGAGCGGGAATGCTCAAATTCTGGATGATTTGGAATATCCTGATTTGGGTTCTGAGGACTTGCCTTCATCAACTATCGGGACGGCCAGTAGAGACCTCTCTTCACCCAGTCAACGCCGTTTCTTTTCCACGTCAATCCGTCAATCCGCTTCAGTGAACACTTCCCACGGCTCCCTCGCAGACCAGGTAACTGAAACTCCCTCTGGCGGCGCCGACATCTCCCGAGTTAACGAACCTGTAGCCCATGATGTTGGCCGAGAAAACACAGTCCTCGACGGGTTAGAGACACATCTCTCTAGCCTCTCTCGCGAGCAAGCCATCCAGGAACTAGAGGCCCTGCAGTTCTCTGAATCTCACCCCTCGGAATTTATGTCCTCGTGGAGGCTTGCTGTGGAAGCACTGCCGTCTACACAAAGCTGGCGGCATCGACTCTCACTTCACGTCGCCGGTCAAAGGTTGGGAGCTCGCGGCTATACTCTCTCTGGACTACGTGACCTGGTTAAGGAGATGCAGCTCTCTGGCATTCAAGCTACTAGGCAGCAATACGTGACTGTCTTGCAAGCAATCTACTACAATCCTAACGGCGGGGCACAATTAAAGGAACAATCAGAGCTGGCCCTGAGTTTCCTGGAAACATTATATGCACGCGGTGAAGCAGTCATTGCCCACGATGTCATCGTCGGAGTACTGGAGGCATTAATCCGCTCGGGTGCGAAGGATGACGAGACCATGAAGCTTCGATCTACTCTCGAGAACCTCATGGTCGAAGCGCAACTTCCGTACATGGGCGAGGCACTGCTCATGAGACTGTTGCATGCGTATGCTAGTGAAGGAAACTGGGACAAGTTCTGGGACACGTGGCGCATGCCACCTAGATTCCGGGTGGCTAGGTCCGCCGAGGCGTACTTGTACATATACACGCTGATGGCACGATCAAGACACCAGAGCCGTTGCATCGATACGGTGCGCTGGTGCTTTCAGGAGATGCTGAACGAGGACCCACCCGTCCGGCCTGAGGGAGATGTGCTAGTAGCGTTAAGGGAGTGCATCCGAATTGCAGACCCCCGTGCGGAACAAGTTGCGAAGACGGTCGTTGTCAAGGATGAAGAGTCGCAAAACGCCGCTAACCGAGAGTTTGTCAGGCTGACTAGACTCTTGGATAGCAGTCACTTTTGAACAACCATCACACAAGGCTCTTGACAAAAGCTGGAACAGCTGCCGTGGCCTGCGCAACGTGTGAGGCAAAAGACGATGGCATAACTTGCCCCTAAGAACAATGTCACAGCTGTACTTTTAGTTGTAAATGAGTCGGTATCGCTTATAGATAGCGATGAAACCATTACTACTGTATATAGAAATTCGTCACACTTATCATTCATGACGGGACTTGCCCTACTCACCACCTTCCCTTTTGGTTCTCTGCCGTGTTTAGGGTGATGCGACTTGTGAAGCCTATCATTTTGCCATGCGCTTTACTCCCAGCTGAGACTGTCCTTATCAGAAACAAGCTTTACGATGTGGGGTAGGTCGCTAATGCAGGATGCAGGACATCAAGCAGAAACGGCCATCATCACATGCTGCGATTGGCGGTTCGGGGCGTCATGTCAGGGGGGCCTTCCAAGTACCGGAGTCAATTCTAGCAGTCATCGTTCCAGAAACCTTCCTCATTCGATGACTTCGCATAGTGGGAATGCTTCTTTTCCTGACCGACGACCCATCATGGAAAGGTGACTCGTCTTTCATCCAGCCCGCATCCGAGTAACTGCCAGCCTATCAGGCGCTCAAGTGCCGAGATCGCCGCACCTCACTCGACCCGGGCCGCCGTCTGGCGAACATGGGCCGCATGATTGGACGGGCGCCCTGATAGGGAAATTTCCCCAGGACCTGATGCGCCTACCTTCCCCTGTCAGCCTCTCTCCGATGCACCACCACCCACCTAAGGGGCACGATGGAACCTTGTCTCGCACACCGCGGCGAGCCATAGAGTCTTGCAAGCCGTTTGGCTCGCTCTGAATGATCGCTGCGCGGGAGACTGGTGCTCGCAGATCACTTGGTATAAGACATGGCCAATGATGCTACGGAATCGCATTGTCCCCTGCGTTGGATCTCTGGGCACCGGACGGCACCGGACGACGAGGTTGCAATGGCGGTAAACTATATACAAGTTCGTTTAATAGAGTGAATAAATGTATATATTGTGATCGTGAAACCCGTACTCGGGTTACCAACCCAGTCGTAAAGATCGAAACCACCACGCCCAACATGTCTCGTCGTCTGCTCTCCGCCATCGCCCTTGCGTCCACTCTCCCCACCGCCCTGGCCTGGGGAGCCATGGGCCACGAGACCGTCGCCTACGTAGCGACCAACTTCGTCGCCTCGTCGACCAAGACGTACTTCCAGTCGCTCCTGGGTGACACGTCGACCGACTACCTAGCCTCAGTGGCCTCGTGGGCCGACTCGTACCGGTACACGACGGCGGGCAAGTTCTCGGCGCCGTACCACTACATCGACGCCAACGACAGCCCGCCGTCGAGCTGCAGCGTCAGCGTCTCGCGCGACTGCGGCAGCGCCGGGTGCATCGTGACCGCCATCGCCAACTACACGAGCCAGCTGCTCAGCTCGAGCGTCAGCACCGCCAACAAGCAGATCGCCGCCAAGATGGTCGTCCACTTCCTCGGCGACGTCGGCCAGCCGCTGCACTGCGAGGCGCTCGACGTCGGCGGCAACGACATCGACGTCACGTTCGGCAGCGACGACACCAACCTGCACGCGGTCTGGGACACGAACATCCCCGAGAAGATCGCGGGCGGCTCCTCGCAGACGACGGCCAAGAGCTGGGCCACGACCTTGACAACCGGTGCGCAGCCGCGGCCCTCCCCATCACTCTCCCCCTTATATGCGATGCCGGTTACTGACTGCCTTGACAGCCATCAACTCAGGGACATACAAGTCCTCAGCAGCCGGCTGGGTGAGCGGGCTCAGCATCACAGATGCGCAGAACAGCGCGCTCAAGTGGGCACAAGAAGCGAACGCCTATGTCTGCTCCACGGTGCTCGCAAAGGGCATCACGTACGTCGAGAGCACAGACTTGAGCGGCAGCTACTACACGACGGCCACCCCCGTGGTATCGCTGCAGATTGCAAAACAAGGGTACAGGTACGTATTATTCTTAACGGAAAAGGGGCTGCATCCACTAAACAAAGTATGTAGACTCGCAAAATGGCTCGATGCAATTGCGGCGGCAGCTTAAGAAAGCGAAGCTCGAAATATCGAACGTGATATGGGTGATGGGGATCTAACGGTGATCAATATTGGGTATCTCTTGCGTTGCTGTGCCGAAATGTTTCTATTTCGATTTCGCGCCCCCAACGGCACACACGGCTGTCTTGAGTGGCTCGCTTTCTAGCCGTTCATGTACATATTTCCTCATGTGACGAGTTTATGGCAAGCTTAATCCTACAGCTTCGGCGTTTCTTTCATTGCTGATCTCAGCATGGGCGCCACCTGCTTGCGACTGTGCCTCGTCTGCTTCTGCCGCCAGCAGAGTCGCAGCTCGTCTGGCCCGTTTGTGTCGTCGAGTTTGCCATCGCCCCACGTCTCTAATTTGAGTTCGTCCTTGTTCTTATCAACGAATGTCTTGACGACCTTCACCGCTTCCTTGTTCAGAGCCCACACCATGAGATCCCTACTGAATCCATTGGTGTGTGAGGTAGTCATGATAGATGCGATATCGAGATGTTGCTCCTCCGCCCACTCGCGAAGTTCCTGCACCAGTGTCTTCTCGTCTCCGATCTTGCTCAGCATGTAGTCAAAATTCTGCACGATACTCGATACGCCGAGCACCATGTTCCCGTCGTTCCACTGCTTGTAGTCCTTTCGGAATAGATCTCTGTAGCTGAGGCCGGACACGTCTTCTTTGACGCGAGTGACCTCGTCGAAGAACTTCTCCCTGTCGTAGCCTGCCTCGCTGCCGAGTTTGGCCTCAATGAAGTCCACTGCCTCGACATCGGTATCGGTCGTCTTATCCTTGGACGTCAGATTGGTTGTGTCGATGAGGATCGGCCCCAAAGCCACATGCGCTAAATGGGCATCGACCTCCGTGCTGTCAGCCTCAGCAGACAGACTATCCCACGTGTCGCGGCAGCTCTCGACCACAAGGCTCATACAGCTGCCCGTCTTCCTCACCACCCGCGGGTCTCCATCCGCGGGGACCTTGCCCTCGTCCTCGTGGTGGTCCACACAGCCCACCACAAATTGGCTGTACGGCCCCTCCAGCTGGCCCGTCAGCGCGTTGTGGTCCACCAGCAGCCAGCGCGTCTGCGCCGGGTCCAGGTCCTTCACCTGCGCCAGCTCAGACAGCGTCAGCAGGTCGCCAGCCTGGACGTCCGTGTACTTGAGCACGGCGTTAAGCTCGGGCCGCAGGGCGAGGTCGGCCCTGGGCAAGTTGGAGATGGGGATGTGCAGGGTGTAGTGGGGTGGCGCATGCGAGCGAATGTACGCAAACAGCAGGGCCGAGCACAGTGAGTCGCGGTCTATTCTTGGTTAGCAGTCGTTGGGTACTCGGCGTGGAGACATTTCAGATATAGCGGGTGTAGGATTCAGGAGGACCCGGACGGGACGGGGCGGAACAGACCTGCTGATTCGTTGCCGACGACAAATGTCAAGGGCGTCGGTCTCTGGCTTGCTGGGGCTGCGAGGACCTTCTTTGCCCGGGCGAGAAACGCGCTTAACGAAGCGCGAGCAGGTGGCATAGTGATGGAGAGGGTATCAAATGATATGTGTGAGCTAAGAATATGCCGAGCGGCCGATTGATGCCTTGGGTGAAGTCAATTGGCAAGTTTGGAGGGTATAGAACAGCCCTCGTGCATATGAGGCAGGACTTCCCGAGCTAGGGGTAGCAGCAGCTTCGAGACCATTCAGGGTTGAATCCGCCAAGGAGCCGCACCAACAAGGAGACTCAATGGAAGCCTGTACTTCTAGGATGTCTGTTTTCCTGCAGTTGCGCATGCAGGTATGCGTCTAGCTACTACTCGAGTATGCCACCTGGTGATAAGGCCGTGGTGTCGAGTTCTGTTGGTTGCCTGAATGGATGAATCAATGAACCGATGGACGGTGGATGCTTTTGTGTGTGCTGTCGGCGAAGCGGCAACGAAAAGGGAGGGGCAGACAGTTGTCAAAGCTACGATCTGCGGTTAGACCAAGAAAGGTTAATAAGGTATGACAGAGGTTGACCTCGGACTCCCCAGACCAGGATGAGGGATCAAAATCTGAAGTGTCTTTCTCCAAGCCTCCAGAAGCACGTGCAGTCTTGTTAGTTCAAGTCTAACAGATAACCGAGTTGAGTTAAGTTGACAGACCGCCTTGTCTCTGTTGTCGAGAGCCGAAGAGAGTCGGCGCTTAACTGCAGTGAAGAGTCGCCAGTTTGGCCGACCTTGGAAAGTCTGTGTAACCAGCAGAATGGATGAATGGAGGGGGCAACAGGTAGCGATTGATGGAAGTGACGTTATCCCGAAAGCATTCTTAGCGCCTCCAAACTTCCCACTTGCAGTCCCCAATCTGGTGTAAGTCCAAGGCACAGCAAGCCAAACAGCAGTCGCAACTTGTGGGACTGGCCCGAAGCTGGATAAGCGAGAACCCCAGCAAATTCCAGCAAGGCTCCCCACAGCAAGGCACCTGAAGTTGATACATGTATGTATATCCCGTCGCCAGGAAAGGAGGCACAGCAATCGGATACGGGGCGTACATGTACAGTACACCTGGGCAGTATATCCATCTGCCTTAGCAAAGGCGCGCATATCTGCGTGAGGTCTCTTGTTAGCGGCCGTCTGTCGCACATCAGTCCGATGAGTGCGGGCGCCAAAATGGCGGGGGCGAATGACGAGCCCGAATTTGTCACTTGGACTCCGAAAAGCGGCGAATTGATATCGGAAGAAGGTCACTTATGGCTGGGTAAAAGCGCTTAAGTGTACATCTTATCGCGGGGTGCCAGTCCGACATGGATTCTAAGGCAGAACTGCATTGGATTGGGAATTCGGTTGCTAAGAGGAATTCCGGATACGCAATTTGGTGATATGATATGCCGCCGACCAACGGCCAACACACCTCCGCGGTACGTCACGCACGCACGCACGCACGCATGCAGACTCCCAGTCCACATTCTGGGGCGAAAACCATACCCATGATAGTTGCGGTAAAGAAGGAAAGGGTGCAGATATACAGTTCTAATTGGGGGCAAGCAGACAGGAACGACACTGCATTGGTTCCGCCAATAATATCTGGATCTGGGTCAATTGCTGCTGTCTTCTTCCGGGGATTCGCAAACTCCTGCTTCATTCACCAGACCCAGAAAGATAATTCTGGACAACGCCTGTACTGTACAGCACGCGAGCCGGGTCCATCTTAGACCATCATTAGACTCATCTTCAAGGCGGACCCTGAACCGAACTAGATCCGGGCCCGCAGCGCGCCTACTTATGTTAGGGTTCTTTATATACTTCCCGCTCGGCCCCATCCCCATTGTAGATAGATAGACTCGATCTGGTCGGAAATAGATATCAAGCCCCTCGCTCCCCGCCTACCCGACTTCAGTTTCCCCAGACCAGGACCTCAACCTTGCTCTGCTCTCGTACGCCAGATCGTCATCACAAACCATGGGCTCCCAGCCAGAGCCCGCCCCGGCGCTGCGCCTGGCCATCCTCGAGGCCGACACGCCCCTGCCCGGCACGCAGGCCAAGTACAAGACGTACGGCGGCGTCTTCACGAACCTGTTCACGCGCGCGACGGCCCCGGAGCCCGTCGAGTCCGTCCTGCGCATCACGCAGCACGACGTCGTCAACGACCTCTCGTCGTACCCGGCGCTCGATGACATCGACGCCATGCTCATCACCGGCTCCAAGCACTCGGCCTACGAGAACGACGAGTGGATCGTGCGCCTCGTCGAGTTCACCCAGAAGGCCGTCGCCAGCGGCCGAGTGAAGGTCGTCGGCGTGTGCTTCGGCCACCAGATCGTCGGCCGCGCGCTCGGCGTCCCCGTGGACCGCAACGACAAGGGCTGGGAGGTCAGCGTCACGGAGCTGAAGCTGTCCGAGGAGGGCAAGAAGCTCTTCGGTCTCGAGAAACTGGTAAGACTGCCCCCGCATCACCTACTTACGACTGGGGCATTTCTACTCGCCGCGAGCACTGACTAACACCGTGACAAAAACGAGCAGAGGATCCACCAGATGCACCGCGACGCCGTCTTCTCCTACCCGGCGGGCGCCATCCCCCTGGCCGAGACGGACGTCTGCCCCGTCCAGGGCATGCTGATCCCCGGCAAGGTCATCACCGTGCAGGGCCACCCGGAGTTCACCGAGGGCATCGTGCGCGAGATCCTCGAGGCCCGCCACGCCATCGCCATCTTCAGCGACGAGGTCTACGAGTCGGGCATCGACAGGGTCGCCAACGACCACGACGGCGTGGCCATCGCCCGCGCCTTCATCAAGTTCATGCAGGGCCAATAGAGAGCGAGAGAGAGACAGATCGGCAACCTTTGTGGCTCATGGCTTAGAGCAAATGGAGTAACTTTCCGGCGTTCGGGTGTTTGGGGTGGCCGGGCTTGGAATAGACAGACAAGACAGACAGACACATAACCGCACTTTACGAATTGAATAGTCTCATTTGGACTCACTTCATCCCAAGGTTACTTCAGTGCATATCCTACAAAGACATTGGTGAAAATGCAAATAACATTGAAGAAATACGTCATCTTCGCGCTTCATGCAGAACAATGTAAGCGGACGCCGCCTTTGATTACGCGGATGCAGGAACAGCTTGCGCTTAATCAGCCCCGTGCCTTTCCGTGATGCAGAATGCTAACAAATCCAGCCGCCAATACGCCAGAGATGCACCCTCTAAAAATGCCCTTCCATCTAAGTATCCTGAACCGTTGGTATTATTTGTTCCCCAATGCACCTGTCATGCGTTATATTAGTCGCTCGGCCGGGATGCCAGACCCCTTAAGCCCGTTGCCCCAGTCCACCATACCCGTCTCATCCTCGTCGTCGCTCCAGTCAGACGATTCTCGGGGTTCACGATCCCACCAATTTCGCTTCCCGCCTTGCCTCAACGATACGCCCCCTTTTGTTTGCCGTAACACCCTCTCGTGCTGCGCCTCGTCGTCCCTTCTCTGCCGAGCGATCCGTGCCTCGTCGAACATCTCGTCCCGCGTACGGCCTGGGTTCCTTCGCCGGCCGATACTTACGTTAAATCTCATCCGAAGGCCAATGTTCGTCCAGAAGCCACCTCGGGCATACCGCCAAGGCCGTTCCCGAAAGGCAAACACAATGCTATCGGCGAAGCCTTGTATACACAGCGAAATGAGAAATGCAAGTCGTAAGCCAAACGGACCGCGGCCATTTAGGGCGTCTTGATAGCGCTTGATGTCGCTTATGAAGGGCAGCACCCAAACGAGCATGTAGACAAGCGGATACAAGAAGAGAAGTCGGAGCTGCCGACGAATCTTGTCTCGGTTCCGAACAATGCCGTCTGGGTCCAGCACGTCATTCGAGAAAGGCAGCGCCGTGCATGAAAAGCAGCCATCCTCATGTTCCACGACTTGACTTGTTCCTCGTCGAGACGGGCGAAATATGTCGCGGAGAGACGTACCGAAGCTCTCGGGTTGGATGTCACTATCGAGTGAAACACGACTTGGATGTCGCTTAGGGTGAATAGGATCGAGTGGCTCGATATGTGGTGAGACAAGATAGATGTTCTCGGGAGCAGCGTCAAGCTGCCTTTGACTACCGGGATTGGATGTTTGTTGGAAATTAGGAACCTTCCAGGATATAGCCTTATTGTCAGTATGGGCGTCCAGATGCTCCTTTCCACGTTTGAAAACAACTTTTGTAAGCAGAAAGGTTCTACAAGAACAGTGCAGCTTCCTTCCTCGAGAGCCTGAGCTGTGAGGTGGCTTGGGGATCAGATCATGTCGATTGAGGGTCTGTGAGCGTGGCACTTGACTGTCGTCGTTGTCTGCTGTTGTAACCATCGCGGATGAGCTTCGCCGGCTATACCGCCGCATCAGCAGCCTGACATAGAGGTATATACAGGAGTATATGACGATGAGAATGACAAAGTTGACATATCGCGGGATCCAGGAGAGAGCCATTCGATACCAGCTTGGGTGAGTCGGAAGGTAGCAGTATTCGCCGGTGTCTACGTAGCCAGGGGTGCCTTTGATAAACGCCAACGAAGCCATGATGATTGGAACAAAAACGTAGAAGGCGTAGGCGAAGTGACGATAGGGGTAGAGGCCTTTTCCACCTCCCGCTCGTCTCGGGTATACAAAATACAAGGCGGAGTGAATGGCGATGAGCAAAACAGCCACGTCGGAGGATTCGATCCCCAATGCGAGAAAGAAACCACTGGCCTGACAAAATGCTGAGTCGGACGAGATCCGGTCCTTGCGAGTTAGACTGACAATCGGGTACACGGTGAACCATAACGACTTCATGAAATCACTTTGGATAAGTAGCATTATTAGGCTTTGTATGTCAGCAATAGATACACCACATCTCGGTGGGATTGACAAACATACTCATGTCGAAAACTCCGCCTCATTTTGGCAAACCAGTAGAACGAAATGACGGTGGCGATGAGGCTAGTTAAGGAGACACTGAGAGAGACAATCGCAAAGGCTCGGTGATGAGGGTCTCGATGTTCACCTGAAGGGGCCAATATCCTGCCATCTAACAGATCGAAGAGGGCAGTCATAGTGGGTGAGGTTATTGGCTACACGGCCTCATCGGGCCACCTTGCCTTCGACGATACCTAGGAAGAATCGAATCAAATGATGGACGGCGTACACAGATCATGATACGCTTTCAAGAAATGAACCGTCTGTCGCTTGCATGACGATCGTATCGTTTCTCCGGGATCGTTCTTCTTGGAACAGGGACCAGTATTGATTCGGCGGCAAAGGAAGACGAGGCAGAAGTAATGGTGTGCCAGCTTGCTTTCGAAAGCAAATGGACCGTTGTTTGAGCTAAATTGAGTCGAAATGACAGAATGAGGCGTTTCCCACGTTGCAGCTACAGTTTGGTGGGAAGACTAGAGGAAGAACCACCTGGCAAGCATGCTGCTCCAAGAAGAGAGTACGATTTCGTCCTTCAAAGATGGCAGGTGTCCAAAGCAAGTCGTTCTTTCTTCTAAAGTGAGAAGGGTCTTGATCTGGAAAAGAAACGTGCCACAACGCTGGTGTGTAAGATGGAAAGAGACAGCCACGCAGGAAAGAGCGACGAGTTGGCAGTGACACTTGACAGAAAATGGAATTTGGTGACGCAGGAGGCAAGTAGGTAAGGTCCATATGGCAGGCATATGGCAGATGCGTGCGTCCCAAGTCAGCCTCAAATACCTGACATGACCAAAATGCAAGGAGACCCTCGCATGCTGCGAGTCACGAGAAACAAAAAAGGGAATGCGGGAATGCACAGCGACGCGAGGCGGGAACCGAGAGCAAGAGGCAAGACTAGGCCTGCATCCCCATCACGCATTGTCCCATGCACGCACATTACATTACATGGACATACACATACGTGCAATCCTCCGTCCGATCGGCTGGGACAATCGTTTTTGCCAAGCACGCCTAGCTGCGACATGCATTTGACCGGTCCAGAGGATGTAATTGGCGCCGCCTCTCCTCCTTGGAAGCCTAACCAGCGAAGCCCAGCACAGCACAGCACAGCACAACAGAAATGCAAACGCAACGCCTCAAGTGCCTCCCACCGGTCCTTAGTCTCGGGTAAGAGGCTGGGGCCTCCACGGGGCTAGCAGCTCGCACGAAATGAGCTAGTTGGAAGCTTGCGGCGGCAGGAGGTCAATGGTTCAGCGGTTCAGGGACAACGGGCGGTAAGGGCTGGCTCGAGTCCACTCCTCGAGGGGTGGGCGCTGTCGTTGGACGGGAGGGGCCAGCGAGGCGAGCGAGGGCAGGAACAAGCACAAAGAAGCAAGGCGATTGAGCAATGTATGATGCTGTAGGCGTCCACAATGTCTCGGCACAAGTCGCGTTTTGGGCGGTGATATCCGCAAGCCATCCCGATCACCTACGGGCTAGTCTCCCGTAAGAAATGACAAAATGCCCAACACGGTTGCGAAGAAAACGTCCACCTACCATCAAAGACGCATCTCCGACGAGAAACATGTTTATGAACGCATGGTCCAGCAGTGACTAGCCCCATGGCGTGGACGACGAGTGTGGACGGACTGTCTCTCTCCTCACCTTAACTCATTCTCTCCACACGTCAGGAGGGGTAAAAGCCGCGCCGGCTGCGGACTTGGCTTGACCGGCGGGTGTCCAACGGCGGTCTGGAGCGATCCATCGTCAACGCCTTGATGCTTTTCCACTTGCTTCACCGCTTCAACATGTTTCGAAGTGAGCACTCAATATGCTTTCCCACCTGATCTGGAATGAAGGAGGCCGGCGGCTGTCGGGCGACAGCAGTAAAGGGATGGCGGGCAAGGCAGGGTCTGTCGAGGGAAAAAGAAACAAACAGGGAGAGCTATCATCATTCGTCCCAGTTATTGGGTTAAGCTTTTCCAGGGGTGGCACAGACCAGTAATTACCTACATTACGAGTGTGGCACACCTGCACACAGACATTTCATCCCCTCAAGATGCACCCAATCCGAACAAGTCTTTCTTGAATGTCTCAAAATGTCCAGCCGTGTCAACGTTTTCGCTGATAACGGCCATCAATGCTTCAGCAGACTGCGAAAGAAACATGAAATTATCAAAAAATAAAACGTACAACACCGAGGATTCGCTGGTCGTCACCGACCCAACTACTAGTTCAGCGATTGGCAGCTTAAGTACACGAGAGCGGACGGGATCGTCTGTATTCTACCATCTATGGTCGTACGTGAAATAATTCACATCCTAGTCCACTTATAGCAGCATTGCAATATTCTGGGTATAGGTTGCACAGAAAAATGTGTATACTATTAGATAAATAGAGGACAACAGTTATTAAGTCTTGCTGCGGAATCGACTTTCATCACCCAGAGGCTTAGCTCTCTCAATACTAAACAATGAACGAGAGTATCCCACCTTAGACGGCAACATCTACTTTACCCGGGTTTTGTTCTTGCCGCAAAAGGTGCCAAACGTGGAGCCTCACGGCTGGAGAGGGAAATACGACATCCAGGATATGGTATGTCAAAGGCAAGTACAGTGGACCAGTCAATTCAGAATGAAGTGCACAAAGCAAGTAGAAGAACCAGGTGGGCAAGCTGGAAAACTCAGTGGCTCGTCAATACTTTACAACATCTTTTCCCTAGGTGCTTTACCAGCACCCCGAATACACCCCTATTTCAGCACCCTCTCATTACGTATAGGCCTCGAAATTAAACTAATATGACCAATTCTTGTCGGAAAAGGCCCTCACCAAACCAGACCTTATCAGATTTATGCTTATCAGAGATATCAACTGTGAAACACTTTATCAGGAACACCTCCATCTTCATGA